GATGATGATGATGAATGATGATGATGATGATGATGATGATGAGATGATGATGATGATGATGATGATGATGATGTGTGATGGTGATGGTGATGGTGATGGGTGATGGTGAAGGTGAAGGTGATGACGATGAGGAGGAGGAGGAGGAGGAAGAGGAGGAGGAGGAGGAGGAGGAGGAGAAACAGGAGGCGGAGGAGGAGGGAGGAAGAGAGGATGAGGATGAGGATGAAGAGGAGGAGGAAGGAGGAGGAGGAGGAGAAACAGGAGGGGGAGGAGGGGGAGGAGGAGGAGGAGGAGGAGGAGGAGGAGGAGGAGGAGGAGGAGGAGGGAGGAGGAGGAGGGGAGGAAGAGGAGGGAGATGAGGAGGGGGAGGAGAAGGAGGAGGAGGAGGAGGAGGAGAAACAGGAATAGGAGTAGAAACAGGAGGAGGAGGAGGAGGAGAAACAGGAGGAGGAGAAGGAGGAGGAGGAGGTGGTGGTAGAGGAGGAGCAGGGAGAGGAGGAGGAGGAGGAGGGAGGAGGAGGATGAGGATGAGGAGGAGGAGGAGGAGGAGGAGAAACAGGAGGAGGAGGAGGAGAAGGAGAAACAGGAGGAGGAAAAGGAGGAGAAGAGGAGGAGGAGGAGGAGGAGGAGAGGAGAGGAGGAGGGGAGGAGGGAGGAGAGGAGGAGGGAGGAGGAGGAGGGGAGGAGGGAGGAAGTGGAGGAGGAGGAGGAGGAGGAGGACGAAAACGGCGAACCGCGGACGATAAAGACGACGACCAAACGACAGCGGCTGCGACGGCGACGGCGACGTCGTGGTCGTCGTCCTCCTCCTCCTCCTCCTCCTCCTGGTCCTCCTCATCCTCCTCGTCCTCCTCCTCCTCGTCTTCCTCGTCCTCCTCCTCCTCCTGTTTCTCCTTCTCCTTCTCCTCCTTCTCCTCCTCCTCCTCCTCCTCCTCTGCCTCCTCCTCCTCCTCCTCCTTTTCATCCTTCCCCCGTAGCCAGCTCGTGGTCCGTCGCCCGACGGCACGCCGTCGCGACCTAAAATTTTAGGTCGGACCTAGTATATCTTAGGTCGTCCTAATATGTTCTAGGACAAATCCACTCGACCTAAAAAATTAGGTCAGAGGCCCTCCAGGAGACGCTCGCAGCCGGGGGCGGGCCACAGTGAGGCCCTGCCGGGGCCCTGTCGAGACATGGCACGGCCTTCCCCGCACCCTGCCCTGGATCCTGCAGGGAACAGGGCCGTGCCGGCCGCGGTCCCTGCTACCGCCTCGGGCGCCTTGCCCGGAGGAGTTGCTGCTGCATCCCACGGGCCTGCCAGGAGGGCTCATGGAGGCTTTGTTGCAGGCAGGTTTCCTTGCGAGGGTCTTCGGTCGGGCGGCGCCCCTCCGACAACCATGCGCCAGCCATGAGAACCGACAGCCATTCCGGCTGGCTGCGGCCCTGCATTCGGCTGGCTGCGGCCTTTCTGCCCCAGCTGCCAGACAGCCTGGTGCGCGCGCACGCGCGTCCACCCGATGCCCATATCTGTCCTGGGCTGATGTCGCGGGCCGTCCGCACGTCGGGGTGTCTCCCTCTTTGTCGTGGCATCGCTCGGACGTGTGCATTTTTCCCAGCGAGGATCATCGAGGAGCATCCTGGATCATCTTTCGAAACATACGCGCACGAAGCCGAAGAATGCACGGGGAATGGACGTCCGAGCGATGACCAGTTGCTGAGAGGAGGAGACCGTGCCCATACCGCTACCCCTCTCTCCGTTATTGGTTTCCACCAGGCACCGACAACAACGCTGTTTAGGCTTGTTTGGGTCCTTGCTGCGTTTTTCGTTTCGTCGGTTGTTGTTTTTTACGTTGTGTTGTCCGTTGTTCCCAACCATCCTGTGGTGTTGGGTCCTCGTTTTGAAGAGACAGCGCCCCGCGTTCCTTCCTTCCTTCCTTCCTTCCTTCCTTCCTTCCTTCCTTCCTCTCCTCCACCTCCTCCTCCCGCTCCTCCCTCCATCCTCCATCCTCATCCTCATCATTCTCATCACCATCACCATCATCATCATCATCATTACCACCATCATCCCATGCGTCCGTGCCATCCATTTCGGCACATCCGGCACATCCCTCACACGGTTCGTGGCCACATAGGGAGCTCCACCGCAGGCCTCAGTGACACAGTTAATTAATGCGTCCGCGCCACCCATTTCTGCACACCTCTCACACGGTTCGTGGCTCCATAGGGAGCTCCACCGAAGGCCCCAGTGGTACAGTCTACGTGCGTCCCCGCCACCCTTTACGCCACTTCCCTCACGCGGTTCGTGGCCCCATGGGGACCTCCACCGAAGGCCCTAAACGGCAGGGTTTACATGCTTCCCCGCGATTCATTTCAGCGCACCCTTCACACGGTTCGTGGCGCAATAAGGGTCCCCACCCGAGGCCTCAGTGGTTGAGTTTACATGGGCCCCCGCGACTTACTTCGAGGAAGAGTCGCTTACGCGAGGCCCCTGGAATCCTCCACGGCGCAGGGCCCCTGGACCTCACGACCCCGCCAGGCCCCCCCCCTCCGTCTCATCTCCCTCGCGGTACTCGCAGCTGCATCTGGCTGGGTCTTTCGTCAGGCCAAATGCTTTAGACGCCCCGTTTCGTCGTTCGTTTTCTTTTGGCACTGGCTTCGTTCTAAACGTTCGTTTTGAACGTTGGGTTTCGTTTCGCTGCAAACGCCATTTGGTTTTAGACATCGTTGTGGTCGGTCCCTGGTGCTCCCCACTCGCCTTGGGTGGAGCTTCCTATTTGGCCAGGAAGCTTGTGCAGGGTGCGCCGAAACAGGTGGCGGGGACGCATGCGGACGGCACCATTTGGGCCTTCGGTGGAGCCCCCTGTTGGGGCCACAAAGCGTGCGAGGGGATGTGCCGAAATGGGTGTGCTGTGGAGGTCTCGGCGCCCTCGTGGGCCGTCCCTGTGGACGTCCAGGGAAGGTCGGGAGAGGCGGCAGTCGACTGGCCTCGAGTGCCATGGGAGCGGCGCAGCAAGCACGGGCGCTGTGGCGCGGACGTGCACGCGTGACCTGCCCGCGTGAGGTCGCGTGTGAGCGTCCTCCCCAGACCCCCTCGGGTCATGAAGGAATCACGACGGGAGGTTTTGTGCCATTTCAGGCCTCTGGGGGCCCCTACTGGGCCTCGGGACCCTCAAAGTGTCAAATCACGACTCGGGATGGAACACCGGTCCCATGGAAAGGGTCGAGACCTTTGGGGGTCGACGCTGTGAAGAAGTCACGGCGCCGGGGGTCTGGGGTGTGCCGGGGTGGCTGCCCGCGTGAGCCGCGACGTGAGGCAGCCAATTGTGTCCTCTCGCTTCCGCCGAATGCCCGGAGGAGGAGGAGGAGGAGGAGAAGGAGGAGGAGAAGGAGGAGCAGGAGGAGGAGGAGGAGAAGGAGGAGCAGGAGGAGGAGGAGGAGGAGGAGGAGGAGGAGGAGGGAGTAGGAGGAGGAGGAGGCTTATCTTGGGAGGGCCTCCAGCAGTCCTGGGACCTGGCGGAGGAGCGGCCCGGAGAGCCGTGTAGGCGCTCCCGGCGGCTCGAGCGAGTCGAGCCGGGGTCTCTGCACAACCGTGCGGCCGCCGTGCTCCGTGGGGCGCTCTCTGGGCCGGGCCGTACACGTGACGACCCAGTGAGGCGCCGCTCCCAGGAAGGGCTCGAATGACTCCAGCCCTCGGATGTTTTCGGACGTTGACAGCGACGGCGGCGGGCGGCGGCGGTGGCGACGACGCCAAGCAGCAAGAGGCCCCGTGCACGTCCAAAAACGACAGCGCGCACAGAGTTTTTCGATATATAGTGAAAACCGCCGAGAGGCGTTGACGACGACGAGGACGCCAGCGGCGGCGGCGGCGACGGAAACGGCCGCGGAGGCGACAACGACCTCCAGAGGCCTCTGGAGGTCCGCAGAGGTCTCTGCGAAAGCCGCCGGGTGCACGTCGAGGGGCCGGCGCACCAAAAAGATCTCAATCTCAGATCTTGGCGGGCGAAGAACGGTGCGACACATGCTGTTTGATTAGGGTTTTGCCCCTGCCCTGTTTCTTTTTGTTCTGTCATTCGGTGTGCTTCCTCTGTGCTGTGACAAGCTGCTCCGCCCTCCTTGGCCCCTGCCCCAGGGTGGCTGGGACGCTGCATGCCCCAGAGTTCGCACGTCTGAGCGTGCAGTCTGCGAGAGCCATCGAGGACCATCCAGGACCATCGAGCAAAAAAAACACGCACGAAGCCAAAACATGCACGGAAAATGGACGTCCGAGCGACGGCGAGCGGCGCGCGAGAAAGACGCAAGGGTCTTGGCAGGCCATGCCATCCCTCTGTGGGCGGGCTGCGGCCAGCGGCAGCGGCCAAGGATGGGCCGAAGGGGAGAGGATGCAGGTTGGCTGCAAGCTTTCCAGCCGCACCGGGGCAGGCGTTCCCACCTGCGGACAGAGCTGATCTGTGCAGTCAGGATGGGCGCAGCGCCCCTCCAAGGCTCCCCCGGCGTCCCTCCCCTCTGGCCCATCCTTGGCCGCTTTTCTGCTGGCCGCGCCCCGCCCGCACAGGGTCGACGTGGCCCTCCAAGGCCCCGCTAATCCTCCTTGCACGGATGGACTGCGCGGTCGAGCTTGAGATCGGGAGGCCGACCCTGCCCGAACAGCGGCACCCTCGTTGTGCCGCTGGCAGTGTGGCCATCGGACGGGTCTCGCGCCCTCTCGCGTGTCCTCTCCAGCCAGGTCCGAGCGAGCCCAGGGCGCGCAGGCCGCTGCTGCCGCGTCGCGCGTGCACGTCACGCTCGGCAGGCCGCGGGCCGCTCGCGCGTCAGGAGGAGGAGGAGGAGGAGGAGGAAGAGGCGGAGGAGGAGGACGAGGAGGAGGAGAATCAGGAGGAGGAGGAAGAGGAGGAGGAGGAGGAGGAGGAGGCGGAAGGGTCGTGTCTTCTCGCGTGTCCTCTCCAGTCCACCTCGACTCTACAGCTCCTCGTCCGCCGACGATCTCCGGGCCCGACGGCGGCCGTGGCGGCCGACCTCGCCAGGCCAAGGGCGGCGCCGCAGCGGCTGAGGAGGCGGCCGCCGAGGCCTCCGCGCCGGGCGGGGCACGTCGGCGCCGCTGCCGCTGCCGCCGCCGCCGCCGCCGCCGCCACCGCCGTCGTCGCCGCCGTCGCCGTCGTCGTCGTCGTCGTCGTCGTCGTCGTCGTCGTCCTCGTCGTCGTCGTCGTCGTCGTCGTCGTCGCTGTCGTCGTCGTCGTCGTCGTCGTCGTCGTCGTCCTCGTCGTCGTCGTCGTCCTCGTCGTCGTCGTCGTCCTCGTCGTCGTCGTCGTCGTCGTCGTCGTCGTCGTCCTCGTCGTCGTCGTCGTTGTCGTCCGTCGTCGTCGTCGTCGTCGTCGTCGTCGTCGTCGTCGTCGTCGTCGTCGTCGTCCTCGTCGTCGTCGTCGTCCGTCGTCGATGTCGTCGTCGCCCTCCTTGTCGACGTCGTGCGGTGGCGAGGGGTGTCCCCCGAGACCACGCCGCGGCGCGCCTCCCCCGCCCCCGGCGCCGCGGGCGTGGGCTCTCTGGGCGGGTTGCTGGCGGCCCTCGGCCCGGGGGCCTCGGGGCACCGCTCGGGGGCGTTCGGGGGCGGAAAAGAGGGGGGTGATGACTAGGGGGGGGTGGATATCATGGCGGGGGCCATGATATTTCTCCAGATTTCATGCCGCCTTTTCTTATTTCATTACGTACCTGGCCTCCCCGCTGGGCCGCGCACATGCCGCCGGTCATGATTTGCACCCCCCCCTCTTGGACCCCCCCCTCTTGGCCGCTCCCCAGGGGGGGGCGGGGACTCGGGGTGGTGGTGGTCAGAGAACGAAGAATCGAAGAAGAAAAAGACACGTAAAGAGAAACTTTGGGCTCTCCGCGCGGATTTCTTGGATCCGCGCCTGGGCCCCCCCCGCGGCGCCTCCGGCGCCGCCCCTGGCGCGCTCCGCGCGCCAGGGAGGGGGGTCCAGCGCGAATCCAAGAAATCCGCGCGGAGCGCCAAAAGTGTATGTTTATGTGGTTTTCCTTTCCTTCTAGAAAAGGTACCCATACGTCTGCCCTTAGCCCGTTTTCCCCTTTTCGTGCCTCCTGGGAGACCCTCGTCGCCAATCCGGCGAATTCGCCTCGAAATCCTGGTCAGGACGAACCGCTTGGAGAGGTCCAGGGAGTCGCTTTACCGGTACCTCTCGGTCTCCCCAGATGGGTATCACCTCGGCGGCGAGCCCGGGGGGGAAGTGAGAAGGGGCGGGCCATCTCAGAAGGCTCAGGAGTCCCCCCGGCCCTCCGAGAAGTGCTCGAGGCCTTCCCCGAAGACAGAAAACCTTTGAGAAGGCGCGAGGGCTTCTGAGAAGTCCCGCCGCCTTCTCGGAAGGCCTTCTGCTTGTCACTTCCCCCCTCGCTCGCCGCCGAGTGATGGGTATCTTCGGCCAACGCCATCATATCCCCTTGATGTCATTGCCGCACCTGTTTCTTCTTCTTCAACGCGCTCGCTGGCCACCCCCTCCGTTCGCGCACACGCCTCGGGCCACGATCTGCGCAGCCTTCCCGTGGACGCCTCCCTCTTGGACGCGCCCCCGAATTTCTCCGCTGGAATCGTCGAACCTCTGTGTTGGTCTCGGGTGGCGTCCTGCGGGAGCGTCCTGGCGAGCTGCTGGCGCTTGGCATGGCTCGCACGTGTGCATGATTCCTCGGCGAGGACCACTGAGGAGCACCTTGGATTATCTCGCGACAAACCATATGCGCACGAATCCAGACCATGCATGGGGAAAGAACGTCCGAACGATGGCAAGGGAGGGGGAAGGGACTGGTGGCGCGCCATCGAGGCCCTGGGGCGCATCTCCAAGCGCACAGGGCGCTGTCAGGGGAGGATGGCTCGAGGCGGACCTCGGAGAAGCTGTGTGTTGTGCAGTGATCTGCTCCTCCACTTGAGGCCCCTTGGGGTGTCCTCGGGATTTGGAGCCGCTTCGGGTCGCCGTGTAGCGCCTCGCAGCTGCCTTGGGGCGCTTTGCTTTGGGGGGGGGGAGGGGGTTCTTGGGCCGTCTTGGCAGGATCCCTGGGCCGCCAATAGTGCCGCCCATAGAGTCTTCCCTGGGGCGTCCTGGAGCTGTGTCTTTAGTAGGTCTTGGGCTGCCTTGAGTTGCATTGGGGACTGAGGAGCTTCTCCGCCAGACCAGGACTACCAGAACGCACGGCGCATGGATATCCCCGAGCGGCCTCCGAGTGGCCCAAGACGACCCCAGGGCGGCCAGGCCGTCCCGATTGGCTTGGTGGATGCCTGGCGGAGGTCTTGAAGGGGCAGTCTCTGCCTCCGAGTTTCCATTCTGGCGAGTGGAATTTCGGATGTTTTCTTGGCGCCGCGCTCAGGTTGTCGGATTTCAGATTCCCGACGCAGCTGGCTCATTCTCGGGTTCTGGGGTCGGCGGGGGGGGGCACTGCGATTTCTTGTATCAGGGGGTGTCAGGGCCGTCTCCATCGATAGGGTAAACAGGCACAGTAGGCATTACAGTCGGACCGAGGTGTAAGATGGAGGTCGGTTTGTGGAGGGTGTCCTAATGTTCTTCGTGTCTGTTGGATGTCCTTGTGCATCCATTGGAGGGTTACCCTTGGATGTTCTGTGCGGGTTTGGCCGACGGAGGGTCTCGTGTGTTCTTGAGGGATGTTCTTCTGGCCTGGGTCCGGCTGTACACTGGCAACCTGCGTTGTTTTCTTCACCATCGGTGGTTGCTCGGTGCTCACCCTGCGCAAGGACATGCCAGGGGGGCCGCGGCCCCCCCTGCAGGAAAGTGGGCGATCTGGTCAGATGTTCCGGGGTCGTCATCGTCGTCGTCGCCGTCGAAGCCGCGAGGTCTCAGCCAGCGACCCAGACGAGAAACCACGGTTTGTGTCATCGTCACTGCCAGGATGTTTGAGCAATCGCTTGGGTCGCGTTCTGATTATGGCCGATTGGGGGACTGCAAGGAGGCCATCACGATCGGAACGGGGATCAGCAGCTGTCCCAGCATCAACGCGCTGTCTGCTCGGCTCGTTCCGATATACAGTCGATTGCTCAATCCTTTCTCATGCATCTTTACTACGTCTCAGCCTGCTTCATCGTTGGAGTTGTTGCCAGGCGAGCCGCGGTTCGGGATCTCGCATTGGAGCGGAGTTCGGAATACATTTGGTTAAACGGTGATGGTGAGACGGACGTTGATTGTGGGATCGGCCCTGAGTTTGCGAAGGCGAAGTTTCTATTAACGAGCTCCTTATGGGATGACAATGAAGAGACTATGTTGAACACCTTCAAGGATCTCCCCCCTTCTCCAGGCAAGGCGCTTTGGATTGGTGATGCGACGGCGGGCTCGCGTCCATGGCACGCTCGATTCGTTTACTATTTCAACACCGCAAATCAATGGATGAAGAAACTCGGTTATCCAGTCGCGCCGTCGCGCATATCCGTCTCCACGCGGGGGGGGGGGGGGCGGGGCTGGTGGGAGGGCAGCGCCGGTGGATCCAGGGATGCGCCCGCCACCAGTTTCCCTGCTCGCATCCATTCTCTCCCTGGGATGACGAAGCGCACTCAGGGGGCTGGGGCAAAAACGGGCCTGTGCTGGTCTCGGTGAGCCGGAGGTGGTGCTCCCTTAGTGCCACCTCGCAGAGGGGGGCAAGGGGTCGGACAACAAACAGCCAGAGGGGCCCGGCGATCGCGAGCCGCGGCGCAGCGCCGTGGCTGCGGACTCCCTGGAGCGGGTGATGCTCCACCAGGGCGGCCGGGGCAAGGAGCAGGGCTCGACCCCAACGGTGTTTTGGCGATCTCGTGGGCCGCTTTCGCTTTGACCTCGCTGTTCAGAAGAGACGGCACGAAGACAGCGAGGGAAACGCGAGGACAGCATGAGAGGAGCGGAACTCACGGTTCAGGTCGAGCCCTGGCGAGGAGGCCATGGATGAGTTGTTGCGGGGCGTCGGGCTTGTGTACTTGGAGGGTGGAGACCACATGTTCCTCACGCGGGCCATCCGAGAGAGTGGGTTCTCAGTATCGTTTAACCGATCCCTATTCCCATCCCCATTCCCATCCCCATCCCAATGCCGATCCCCGCCATCCTACCACCCCAGTTGGGGGCATGTCCCTCGAAACTCGAATGGAACTGCCTATATCCCCATCTGTGAGAGTAAATCGGTCAGTCGGTCAAAAAAGCGGTCAAACTATGCTCAGGTTCGGCGAGGCGCTGCTTCCGCGCTTCTTGGACGGAAGCATCACTGTGGTCGCCCGCAGCGCTGGGACCATCGTGTCGGGCATGGACGTTGGTTTCTCGTTGGAGAAGCAGTCCGAAGGGCTGCTTAATGGTAACTTCGCTGGAATGGGCTTGGCAGGTAAGTGCTCATTGCGAGGTCACTTTCAGAATACAGTATGGCACGACTCAACGCGCCCGCGAGGCGTGTCAGAGGTGTTTGACGAAGAAGCGACGGCCCAATTCCGGCGCACCAACTCAACAGGCCTTGTCGTGACGCTGGAGGATGGGCAGGCGTTACTGATGAAGAATGGCCGGACTACCATAGTGCAAGCGGGTTCACCCATGGCCACCGATTGGGATATTGCTATCAAAGAGGACATGCCTCCGGACTTCCTGGAAGGAAGGGAGTCTATCTTCACAGAACACAGTGGTGCGTTTGGCCGGCCGGCTGACAACTCCACATGGTCATCTTGTACACCGCAGAAACAGTGCACCAGGGGGGCCTACTGACCCCCTGGGGTCCCTGGACAGTGGTTGTGGGCTGTTGGCCCTGAGGAATATCATTTAGATAATTGACCCTGACTGCCCGCCTCCACCTGGCCAGGCTTGCGTCGCCTGGCTTGTCGGTCCAGCCTACTTCGGTGGTTTCAAGCCCATGTGTCTGCGTGATCTGTTAATTAATGTTCAGACCCTTTCGTGATGGGCATTGTTTTCGGTTCCGAGGTTGTGTCGGATATGTTTGTTGATTTCATTTGCCCGCCCGCCTATTCCAGTTCTCGCCGCAAGAGGCGAACACGGCATTAAGAGAGGATGACATTCGCCTGGCGAAGGATCCAACCCGAAGAAGCTGCGAGAAGCACACGACATGACCCTTTCCTCATGATAAATGTGCCGCGCAAGCCTGCGCGGGAGGACCGCGTGCTATACCCTGTGCGGCCACGGAAGGTGTGAGGTGTGTGCAGAATTGAGTTGGGGGACGCCTGCCAATGAGGCCTTCAGTGGAGCTCCCTGTAAGGCCACGAAACGCGTGCGGCTTGTGCCGAAATGAGTTGTGGGATCGCATGTGACACGCTGCCTTTCAGGACTTCGGTGGAGCTCCTGGTGAGGCCTCCGAACGTGTGAGGAGTGTGCCCAAAGTGGGCGGGGGGACCTGCGATACCCTGCCAGTGAGGCTTTTTGTGGAGCTCCCTACGGGGCTACGAAACGCGTGAGTGGCGTGCCGGAGCCGGGCGGGGGGACCGCAAGTGTAGAAATCCATGTAGGGCCACGCAGCGTAGAATTCCATGTAGGGCCACGCAGCGTGTGCAGGGTGTCCCGAAATCGGCGAGAGGGACCGCATGCACAACCCTGTCGCTTGGGCCTTTCGTGGAACTCCCTGCGGGGCCACGGAACGTGTGTGGTGTGTATGCCGAAATGGGTGGGTGGACCGCGTGCGGTATCCTTCAACTAAGGCCTTCAGTGGAGCTCCCTGTGTGGCCACGAACCGTGTGTTCTAGGGCACAATTCTTGGGAGGTTGAACTCTGTATCGGCGCTGGTATTTTCACGGTCGATGATCCGCTCAAATAGGGCTAATTTGGCATGCTTCGGCGTAATCCCACTCAATCTTTATTAATCTGCCCTTAACCCAGGCTTAATGCGGCCCAATCCGGCGAAGGGAACCCTTAATCGGGCTGGATCGCCTTTTCATCGTTCCCACGAGAACCTTCCAGGAGTTGCTTCGAGGTGTGTGGGGTGTGCCGAGATGAGCGGGGAGACCGCGTGCGATGCCCTGCCATGGATGCCTTCGGTGGAGCTCCATGCGGTGCCAGGGCGCGCGCGAGGGGTGTGTGCCGACGTCAGTGGGGGGGACCGCAGGCAACGCAATGCCACTGGGGCCTCCGGTGGAGCTTCCTAGGAGGCCTCGAGGCGTAGGAGGGGGGTGCCGACTGGTGCCTCGTCTGTCCTGGCCTGGTGAGACGCGAAGAAGAACAAACGCCATACGCAAAACTTATGGCGCACCACGTGGATTTCTTGGATCCGCGCTGAGCCCCCGCGGCGGCGCTTCTGGCGCCGCCCCTGGCGCGCTCCGAGCGCCAGGGAGGGGGTTCCAGCGCAGATCCAAGAAATCCACGCGGAGCGTCAACATTTTCTTTATATATTTGAAATAAAGATGAATACTACATATACATCTACATATACATATACATATATATATGGCGTTTTTCACTAGAGACACCAGTGTGCGCCCGGCGTCGCCGCCGAGAGCTCGCCTCTGTGCTTTGAGCATGCTGCACGGCTCATCCTTCTAATTGTTTTGTGCCCTCCGATGCAGGGAGCAGTCGCCCTTGTGGCTCATATGGTGAGGCCGTCGAGGTCGAACAAGAAAGTGAAGGGGGATGCGACACCCTGCCAATGAGGCCTTCGGTGGAGTTCCCTGTGAGGCCACGGATCTCGGGCGATTCTTCTCCCCCAGTCCCCGACTTTTCGACGAAAAATGAGGCCGCCCAGAAAAGAGGGGAAACCATGGGATACACCCCCAGGGGAGAATTCGGACGCACCCCAATCGAGGATGGACGCCCCCCCCCATCGTGTATCCCAGGGTTGGGCCCCGACTCTCTGGTCCATTCGAGAACTTCCCAAAGCTTGGGGTAGGGGGGAGAGCATGCGACACCATGTCATTGAGGCCTTCGGTGGAGATCCCAGTGAGGCCACGACGCGTGCGAGGGGCTGTGCCGTTATGGGCAGGTGGACCGCATGCGATACCCTGCAACGAAAGGTTTCGGCGCAGTTCCTGCAGTGGCCTTGAAACATGTGAAGGATGTACCGAGATGGTTGGGCAATCATGTGCGATACGCTGCCACTGAGAACTTCGGCGAGGCTCCCTGCATGGCAACGGAACCTGCGAGGCGTGCGCCGGAATGGGGGGGGCGCGTGGTATACCCTACCAATGAGGCCTTCGGTGGACCTTTCTGAGGGCCACGAAACGTGTGAAGGGTGTGACGGCATGAGTGGGGGAACAGCATGCGCCACCCTACTACTGAGGCCTTCGGTGGAGTTCCCTGAAGGGCCACGGAACTTGTGAAGGGAGTGTCTCATGGTGGCCTCATTCGCATTTCGTGCACACACCAACGCCCTATCGCTAGTGCAGTGCCTCTGCCTAGCCGCCGACGCAAAAACTGAAGGGAGTGCCGAAGTGGGCTTGGGGAGCCTCGTGCGATACCCTGCCACTGATGCCTTCGGAGGAGTTCCCTGCAGGGCCTCGGAAGTTGTCAGGCGTGTGAGGGAGTGGGCGGGGGGACACTGTGCAACACCATGCCGGTGGGATCTTCGGTGGTGGTCCCCATGAAGCCACTGGACGCGTGAGGGGTGTGCCGAAATTGGTAGGGGGACGTTATGCCACACCCAGCCACAGAGGCCCTCGGTGGAGCCCACGAAACGTGTAAGGTGTGTGTGTGTGTGTGGCTGTGCCAAAGCGGGTGTTATTATGCTATGCAGCACCATGCCATTGAGGCGTTCGGTGGAGCTCCCTATGATGCCACAGAGTGTTCGAGGAGTGTCGAAATCGGCGGGGGGGGGGGGGACGCGATGTAACACCATTTTGCTGAGGGGGAGCCCCCTGCGGGGCTACGCAACGTGTGACGTGTGTTCCGAAATGTGCGCATGGACCGCGTTCGATGCCCTGCAACTACGTCCTTCGGTGGAGCTCCTCGTGCGGACGCGGAGCGTGTGAGGGGTGTGCCGCAGTGGGCCTGGTGCCTTTGTTGGAGCTCCCTGCGGGGCAACGACGTGTGCGAGGCGTGGACCGGAGTGGACACTCCGAGAGCAGGTCGCGGAGGGAGCGGGGGCAGGGAGCACGGCGCGGGGCGCTGCGGAGTCAGAACGAGGACCCATCTCGGCACAGGTCGGCCCAGGCATATTCCGAATATGGGTGGGCGACCCTCCCTGAGGTGTGTGTGTGTGTGTTTGCAATTCTTCGTGCTGTCCATTTCTTCTACATCCCATCGCCGAGTCGAATGCCGTGTGGCTGATCGATGCCCACCTTCATTACCGACGGATCAGTGACATGGACGCTGGCTCTCTGGATTCTTGCTCCTTGTCCTCAGCTGGAGGCCAGAAACAGTCATAACTTTACCCACTATCGGCCCAAGACGGCATCGTCAACAACCTCAGGGGGCTCATGTGTTTTTGAATTGTCCAGCTAGTAGGTGAAGTTGGGTCCCAGAGGTGTTCTGCAGGGCCAGAGCCGACTTTGGAAGCGAAGAGATGCCCCGAAAGGGGCCAACGTAGATCATGCATGTGCCCCGAAGGCGTATTTGGTATTAGGAGCGGTCTGGAATTCGAGACCGTCTTGGACGCCGTCTGAAACTTGCCGTAGTGGCCGAAAGAGGTTTGATGCCGTTGCTGCCGCAGCGGGCGGGGCTTAAGCCTTGAAGTGAGCTCTCTTTGTCCAGCCTGGCCCTCACGACGGCCCTAGGACGGTTCCAACCAGCCTCCAGCCGGCCCACGGCAGCCCCTCCCTCGTGAAAGAATGAGGCTCTCAAGTCTCCCTCCAGCATGCGGGCCGCAGCCCCTGACCCAGACCGAAGCGGAAATGAGCCTCTACCAGCCGCACTTGGCCGCCTTCGCGCCGCCAAGCCACGACAGGAACTATTTGCAGGGGTAGCCCCGCGCAGGCCCACAAGATCAGGAGGAGGACGACGATGACGAGGACACGAGCACCGAGGGGGAGCGAGCGACGAAACGACAGGTGAGAGGCAAGAAACACAGGGGCCCTGTATTTTGCGCCCAGCAGTATTGACGCCGTTCCCTGAGCCCGGCGGCAATGCCCAGATTACCCGTGAAACGCCGGGAACGCCCGGGGGGGAAGGAGGAGGAGGAGAAGGAGGAGGAGGAGGCGGAGGCGGAGGAGGAGGAGGAGGAGGAGGAGGAATAGGAACAGGAACAGGATGAGGAGGAGGAGGAGGAGGAGGCGGAGGAGGAGGAGGAGGAGGAGGAGAAGGAAAAGGAACAGAAGGAGGAGGCGGAGGAGAAGGAGGAGGAGGAGGAGGACGAGGTTGAGGAGGAGGAGGAGAAGTCAACGACCGACATACGAGGACATGCTCGTAGAAGGACAACACGGGAACGGCAGGAACAACAGGAAACAAACAAGTGTCCGGGAGGCGGACGGGGGAGGTCGTCGGCGTCGGTGTCGGCGCCGTCGCGGTCGGCAGGCGTTCGTCTAAGTCACGTCATAGCGTGGCGGGGCGGATTGAGGGGCGGCGGCGGGGCGGAGCTCGCCAGGCAGTCGGTTCACGCAGCGTCTGCTGCGCGCTGCCATCGCTGTCGCCAGCTTGGCTGCCAGCGTGCCAGGCGGCGTTTGCAGCCTGCGGAACACGGCCCACGCGATCTCCTTTTTGAGGAGCAGCCTGGGCGTGCCCCGCCGCCACGAGGGCGGGATTCTCCCCCGTGGCGTCCGCCGCGCGCTCAGCTGGGACGGTCAGGGCGCGGCGTGCTTCCTTGCCCCAAATGCCGCCGTGCGCCACCCTCGCCATGTGGATGAAGGTGACGCCTGCGGCGCTGCAGCGGCTCGCTGTGTCGATCGAGGGGCTGGCGGTTCTGCTCCTCGTAGCGTTCCGCGGCCGCTCCGGGCGCGGCGGCCGAGGCAGCCAGCAAGTCGCCCCGCAGCTTTGACGTGACCGCGACGTCCAGGGCCGCTGGGACGCCGTCCCGCCAGCGGGGACGCAGATGTCCGCTGGGCCACAGCCGCCTGCGTCGGGTCCGCCGCCGGCTTCTTCCGCGGGCGCCCCCCCCCCCCCCCCCTTCCTCCCCCTGCGCGCGGCGTTGCAGCGAACCCGCCGCTCAGTTCGAAACCTTGGAAGCCCGCGGCCTGCGCGATGAAAAAGGTTTGGTCGCGGAGGGCGTTGTGTCGCTTCACGCGGTCCTCGCGGCAGGGGCACGCCATCGCGTGGTCGCCGTAGACGTCCAGGACGCCGCGCGAGCGGGGCAGACGGCCTCTAGTTCCGCCAGCCGCACCCGCAGGCGACTCTGCAGGGTGACCTGCGTCATACCGTGCGGGAAGTCGGTGCTGGCCGCAGCGCAGCGCCGTGCTGGCAGCCAGCCGCTGGCGCGCCACCTGTGCTCACCAGAGGGAGGTGCGCTGGTGGCCAGGCAGTCTCGCTCCAGGAACTCCGTCTTGGCGGCGGCGTCCTAGCTTGTCGGAGAGCCCACGGTGGTCGCTGTGTTGGTTGGTGTCGATGGTTATTCTGTCTGCATGCAGGAGCTGGGCGTTGTAGGACTGCGGCGCACTCTGCTGCGTCGTTGTCGTCCGTGTCGTCGTCGGAGTAGCCAGTATGTAGCTGCATGCAGAGCGGCGAGCAGGCTGCGCGGGAGGCTAGGTAAGCGGCTGGCGCCCGCCTCCTTGCTGAGTGCAGGCCGCTTGCCTTGAGGCAGAGCTGCTCTTGGGCCCACGAGCCATCCCCAGGGGAGTTGATGCTGAGTTGTTCGGGGCAGGCCCGCTTTGCGCTGTCCAGGGCGGTCAGAGCCTCCGTTCGCGCCGTGGGCGGGGCGACCTGCGCTGAGCGACCAAACCTGCAGTAGCTGGCACACTACCGCAGCAGGTGGAACGCGATTTGGCAGTTTTGCAGCGCGCCCAGAGCCTCGAGGAACCTGGTCGCGTTGTGGACTCACTGCTGGGTGTGGTCGCGGCAAAAGGCAAAAGGCGTCGTTGCCGCGCCCAGGAGCTCACGAACGCCACAGTTCCTGGTGGGCGGGCGGATTCCAAAGGCTTACGCCAATCCGTATACCCGCGCACGTGGACATGTGTGACACGGGCCCAGGTTTTTCGGTGTTCGGCGATGGCGCACTAGAGGAAGCAAGTTAGATGAGGACGACAAAGAGAACAGGGAGGGGGCGAAGGATGAGGAAACGCAGTCTGATGCTGGTCTTGGTGGAGATGGTTATGGTGATGCGGATTACGGCGATTATGGTCAACCTTGTTTTCAACGGTGGGTACGACCGGTGTGATGGTGGTGAGGGTGATTGACGTTTTGTGGACATAATGGTGACGATGGTGATGCTTACGCATGGTGATGGTTTTCAATGTGGCGACGGCGGCGGTTATGATGATGATGGCGATCATGGTGATGTGGATGATGTTGGTCATGGTGGTGGTGATGCTGATTGCGACGATGGTGCAGTTAGTAAATGAGAGGGGGTCTTGATTATGATTGCGATGATTGTGGTGGTGGTGGTGGTGGTGGTGAGGATGATCATATTGATGCTGGTGCCGATTATGTTGGTGATGGTGGTTCTAGTGATGACTCTGTCGCTGCTGCTGCTGCTGGTCGCACAGTTGTATGGATAAGAGGAGTAGGCAGGAGAGCTAGGCAGACGAGGATAGGAGTCGTCGTCGTCCCTACTCGAGACTTCCACGATCGTTTTTCGACCTCGCACTCACCTCTCGTGACTCTCACAGGGGCCCTCGGCTGTCAACGAGCGTTGCATGATTACGTGCTCTCATTTCCCCTCCGAGCGTATATGGCATGTGCACGATAAGTGTGAGCAAAGCCTGGGACACCACGCATGCAAACAAGAGGAGGGAGAGAAGCAATAAAGAGAAGAGGCGAACGATATCGAATAGCAGGCGGAAGTCAGCGTATATGCCGAACTCCACGGTTACGACATGCTCGCCTCGCAGCTCTGATAGGGAGGAACTCAGAGCTACATATATAGAATCAAACATTGTTGTTACTGCTGCGCCCAACCACATACCTAGTGACAGCAGCAAGAAACACAAGATGAGTGAAGCTCAGACTGAACCAATCCGAACCATCTTGGCTTGGTGGCGTGAAGATGGTGAGGACATAACTTAGGGCATCACACGCGAGCGCCAGGGGCATCCACAGCGCCCACCCTGCTCGTTTTACTTGTCTGAAACATCGTCTCATACGTCGGCGGAAACGTTTGATATGCATACTCTCCGGTGAGGGCTCGCCAGCCCCACGCCGGGGCCAGAAGGAATTCGAGAACACGACCTGCAGACGGCCCGAGAGGCCACCAAGCCTGATGGGGGCAACACGGGAAGCGAAGCCTCGCGCGCAATGAGGACTCTTAGGGGCAACGATAAGGGCAGATGGGGGGCAAACCATCGACCTGGAATCGGCGACACATCGTCGATAGATCGGCGATGGGCCCCCGATAGTGAAGCCGCACCTTTCTGGACAGGTCGGCGCTGTCGGGCCCCTATCGGCGGTGAGAGAGCGATGCGTGGGCGATTGGGGGTCGATGCATCCCCCCTATGCCTATCCCCCCCCATATCGTTACCCCCGAGGCACTTGTCCTTCACCCCGAGGAGTTCGAGGAGGTCGGCCGCCAGGGAAGAGGAAGACGGAGGACGGAGGAGGAAGGAGGAGGACCCGGGGGGAGGAAGGAGGGAGGAGGAGGGAGGAGGAGGGAGGAGGAGGAAGGAGGAGGAAGGAGGAGGGAGGAGGGGAGGAGGAGGGGAAGGAGGAGGAAGGAGGAGGAGGAGGAGGAGGGAGGAGGAGGGAGGAGGAGGGAGGAGGAGGGAGGAGGTAGGAATGAACGCCCGACACAGGCGCGGCGCCTCACGCGGGGGGCGTAGCGTCCACGCCGGGCGTCGGGGGCCCCCTCGGCCCAGACGTGCAGTGGCGGTGTCCCGGCCAGCTCTCGATCACCAGGGGTGGGCCTGTTGTCCACCACCACAAGTTGGAGGGGGGAAGGAGGAGGACGAGGAGGAGGAGGAGGAGGAGGACGAGGAGGGGGAGGAGGAGGACGAGGAGGAGGAGGAGGAGGGGGAGGAGGAGGACCGCCTCCCCCTCCAGCTTGTGGTAGTGGTGGCGGTGGTTGGAAACAGGGCCATCAACCAGACTTCTTGGGTTGCTCTTCGAGGTGGCTGATCAGCTGGGTGAGCTTCTTCTCCCTTCGTGGTTCCAGCAGTGGTCGACAGCGGCGGGGTCTGTGCCTGCAGTCACTCGTGTGAAGCATGCTCTTGCGGGCACCGCGGGCGCAGCGCAGAATTCCTTGCACCACCCATTTTTTTGGGCCGTGGGCCAGTCGCTCGTGTCTTCGTCGGGGATGATATGTGCCTCGAGGGTTTTGTCGTTCTCTTTCTTCTTGCTCTTCGGGGCGTGCTTGGCAACATATTTTTTGAAGGCTGCTTTCATTCTCTTGATATCGACCTGGGGCTGGCTAGACGAAGCCGTAGACGACGATGAGCCCGTAGAGGAAGAAGTATCTTCACGTTTCAAGACGCGGGCTTTCGCGAACTCGAGGAAGCCCAAAGGGCGTTGTTTCTTACCATTTTTGGTTACAGTCTTTTTCACTGTTTTGGCACTCAGACCAAATATCGAACCGACCATCTCCGCAGCTCCGTTGTGGACTGCTGTAGCAAAGCCCTTTTTTGAGCCTTCGAATTCTTTTTCTTCTTCACGCGCCTTGAACTGCTGCTGCATCTGGTAAGCGTTGTCGAACGGCTGGTGCTGCCACCACCACTCCCGCTGTAGTTGTAACCGTGTTGGTGGCCGCCACCGCCTCCGCGTCCATGAGGTTTGCCGCCTCCGTGTCCTCCACCTCTGCCAGGTCCGCCACCGCCGCCGCGGCCAGGGTGCCAGACCATGGCACCGGAGCGTGGTACTGCAGGCAGTGCCAAGTCACAAGCTGGTTTAGTATACAGCTCGTGACGTAGCACGGCGCATTGCTGAGTCGGAGGATCGCTTACAGGGGTGCGCAATGTCAGCCAACATGTTGCCGTGTACGTACTCAAGTAGGAAACGAATGACTTCCAAGTTCTGCGAAGCTCCACGGATCAACTCATCCAATTCTGTGTGCGACCTCGCCATTGCTCTCCCGATTATCCGTGCGAGGCCGATGTACGCGGATGTCTTTTTTCCTGGGCAAGCTACATCGCCCTCTACCAATTCTTTGGGAGGGCCATCCTTGTACCAGGAGTTCGGCAAGGATATCGTGGGCAGCATGTTTTGTGCGCTAGCCATGTCCCTGGGCCATGGCATCGAACGTTATAATGCGTTCCCATATTCTTAGGAGTAAGCACCCGTGGTGCCCTTCAACATTGGGGGAATTTTGCGTATTTAAGATTGGTGCAGTCACCTCGAACAAATTCTCAATTTGCCGATACCGCAAAACATTCAAAGCTATTGCAATGTTCTTGGAGCTCACTTTTGAGGTATTGCATCGGTGAATTCGCCCCTTCGTGCGTAATGCCCACGTCTCGTGGGACATGTTGCTTAAACCTTGCAAACAAACAGTCACTACAAAATACTTTCGAGAAACACAGGGCATCGTCCACATACAAGCTCCCTGCACCAGCTCTCCCGTCGACAGATGGGGGTATACGAACCTGGCTCTCTTGGCCACGCCTGGGGTGCGGTACAAATCATAGACGCAATGGCCAAGATCCGCGAGCGTTGCTGGCTCCGATAGGGAGCCTCTCATGGATCATCCTCTCCTCCTCCTGAAAACCTCACTCCCGACACGGAAGAAGCAATCAGCTGCAGCATAGACAAGTGCACGTTCAATATCGGTGAACGTAACGGGAATCTGTCCTGGCTGGCGTTTCTCACTTGGGACATGCAAGTTCCCTGACGCCTTTTTTCCATACCAGACTTCCACGCTAGTGGCACCTGTGGTAGCTGTGATCCTAGGCAGCAAGTCTCGAGCACAAGCACATCCCCTCTGCACCGTAGCGTCCTTAAAGAACTGCGATGGGTCTGCCCTGACAAATGAGACTGCTGGCTTAAACTTACCACATGGGCACACATGTGCATGCTCGGGTACAGCACGCAACAAATCACACCGAGATTTCAGGATGGAGGGGAGAAGGTTTGGTTCCCACACTGTCCAACATGGGTCTCCAGACTTCTGCTGCGCAGTCCTAAGAGCACGCGCCGCTGTCTGGAGGAAGCTCTTCTGCGTGGCCGTACACTTACTGATGACCTCACGCTCTTGGGCGTGTGGTTTCTCACGGGTGAGTGCTCCAGTCTCGGCGGACACGCATTTGTCCTTGGTCGTGAGGTGTGCTCTGGGTAAGCGGGAGGTCTGTGCAGTATGACGGCTGCGCCATTCTTCGGGGACCGTCTCCTGGTCTCTCCGACGCTGTAATTTCGTAATCTGTTTTTCGGGTTGCTCTGGTCAGGGTCTCACAAGTTATCTTTTCCTGGAGGAAACAACTGCCAAGGCGCCACATGTACGAAGGAACTGGAACTCCCACTCGTCTGTGTGGGTCCTTATCGACCCCGATCCAGACGTTCCTTTGAAAGTTCTCAAGATAGTATGCTCGGATTCGCTCCAAGAGGAGGTCGGTCGCATGAGGTGATCCAGAAACAGCGTCTGGAATTGTGTAGGAGGGCTAGGCATGTTCGAACTGGTATTTCGCATAGTGGCATTGCGTTTGTGGCCACGCTTCGCGCCAAACCAGTCCTGCGCGCACCAGCTCGGGGACATCCCAGAAGTTACTGTCACAGACGACATCATGGGTGAGCTGGGTGGACACATGGGGGTCTGACCATACATGATATTGCAAAGAGGGAAAGCGCGCCACTGGATCTCCCTGTAATTGAAAAGGGGGTGTGTGCTCGCTGAACCCCCCCCCTCCCCCCCTTCAAAGGGGTGGTGAGATTTTCGGACCCCCCCCCTCCCCCTTCCCCCCCTTGGCGCTGGAAAGGGGGGGGGGGTCGGACCCCCCCCCCTCCCTTCTGCGCCGGAAAGGGAGCCGGGGAGGGGGCCTCTCTCGCTTCGCCTTTCTGCGCCGGAGAAGGTGTGTATAGGGAGTACGGAGTTGGGAGTAGGGAGTCGTGAGTAGTCAGTAGTGAGTTAGTGAGTATTGGGTACTGAGTAGTGGTAGTGAGTGGTGAATAGGGAAGAGGGAGTAGGGAGTGGGGAGTAGTGAGTAGTGAATAGTGAGAGTAGTGTGTATTGATAAGTGAGTAGTGGGTAGCGAGTAGTGAGTAGTGAGTAGTGAGTAGCGAGTAGCGAGTAGTGAGTACTGAGTAGGGAGTAAGGAGTAATGAGTAGTGAGTAGTGAGTAGCGGGTAGTGAGTAGTGGGTGGCAAGTAGTGATTAGTGGGTAGTGAGTAGTGGGTAGTGCGTAGTGAGCAGTGAGTAGTGAGTCGTGAGTAGTGAGTAGGGGGTAGTGAGAAGTGAGTAGTGAGTAGCGAGTAGTCAGTAGTGGGTAGTGGGTAGTGAGTAATGAGTAGTGAGTGCTCTTTGGGTCTGGGGTTAGGGGCTGGGGTTCGGGTTGGGGTTTTGGGTTAGGGTGAGGACTAGGGTTGGGGGTGGCGGGGGTCGGGTTCCGGAGTCAGGGGGCAGCGTGACGAAAGGAGGGGGGGGGCGGCCAAAGGGGGGGAGGGGGGGGGATCCGGACCCCCCGTGTGAAAGAGGGGCAGGGGGGGGGGGTCCCGACGACGGACCAGGAAAGGGGGGAAGGGGGGGGGGTCCCCGACGACGGATCGGGGAAGGGGAGGAGGGGGGGGTCCCCGACGACGGATCGAGGAAAGGGGGGGGGAGGGGTTCCCACCCCCCCCTTGGGGAGATCCAGCGGCGCGCGCTGATGATTGATGTTGCTGGGTAATCGGGTCGCTGTAGTATCGGCTCCTAGTAGCCGCGATCCGAGTCTTAGCCACGAGATGTTCATACCTGGTTCCTCGTTCTCTGCTGACTCGCCAGAGGTATTTTCGAACCAGTCTCTGAACTGGGGCAAGTACTCCGGGGCATGATGTGGACATTCTCAACATGACAGTTTACGAGGTAGCACAGTTCCTGTAACCAAACACCTCTCAAACTTTGACCGCGCTGTGTCTCGCTGAATGTGATATCAAAACCCGCAAAGACACCAGATGCTAAGGACACATTGCACCACGTACGCATGTCTCCCAGTCTTGCTGCAGTCCAGGCGTGTGCCCAAATCTCTAAGGAACACGCACAACCAATTTTCAGATCGTGCATACATGAGTTCGCGCAAGCGCGCAGCCGAGAGGTACAAGACACGCGCACATCAACTAAGGACATGAGAGAAGGTGAATTGGATCCGTGCCAAACGTTGTCGCATATCCGCATATTTCCTGAGTCGCGCCAGCGAGTTGAGGGAATGCTCTTGTTCGACCGTCTGATGCTTCCGAACAGGTGGGAACGGACGAGCTCTCTCTCTCCTTCCCTTGCCCTGAGGGCGGGAGGAGTTGGGTAGGAGGACGGAAGACTTCAATCGACAACAGCTCGTATCGAAGGATTTGTGCCGTGTGGCCATATGCCATAGGTGCTGAGACAGGTGGCCAACATGTGCAACTCGACCATTGTTTATATCTCGGTCGATGGACTTGGGGTCCAGCATGCAAGCATGTCGCACGATAGTGCTCCAGCTGGCCCCATTGCTGCTGCTGCCTGCTGCTGCTTGCTGAATACGAGACTGACGATGGTCGCGCCTTCTCATGACGCAGTGGGCGGTCCAATTGAACAGCAGATCTCGTTTGCCCCCCACGCACTGACGCCGAATGAGCATGCAGCCCGCCACAACCTTCCGGGAGGGGCAGGGATCTGGCTCAGCCGCACGCCCGCGAAACCCGCGGCCCCGGTGCACGTCCACCCCGGTGCACTCGCGGGACGGCCGCAGGGCCTCGTCGCAGCGCCGCCCTGCGAGCCCTACGAGACCGCTCGCCGCAGCTGCGGGGCCGCCGCCGCGCCGGCGGCGGGCGAGGCCGACGGCAGCCGGCCGCTGCGGCATGCCCCCTTTCCGAGGCCGGGGTGCGCGGCAGGCCGCCTGGCCGGCCAGGCGGCCTGCCCCCGCCCTGCCCCCGAGCCCTCGGGATGCCTCGGGATGCCTGGGCGCGGAGGCGCCGCCCGCGCCAGCGCCCCCCGCGGAGGCTGCGACGGGCGCGCCCCAAAAGATTTGGGCCACGCTTTCGGCCGGCAGGGCCCGGGCCGCGTCGTGCGCGTCGCCGTCGTGGCGCCCCGGGCTGGCCTTCAGCCCGGGGCAGGCAGGCCGTGGCGCCGCTCGCTCGCACCCCTGCCGAGCCCGCCCGAGTCGTAGGCTCTCCGTGTCGGGGAGCAGGTCAAGTGCCCTGTGCATCGACCTCGCGTCCACGAGGATCTCGACGAGGTCAGGGGGCTGCCGGAATGGGGCGGGGCACCATGTGAAGCCAGCCGCTGGGGCCTTCGGTGGAGTTCCCTGTGGGACCTGGAGAAGTGGGACGGGGCACCATGCGAGCCCAGCCGCTGGGGCCCCGGCCTCTGATGAGGGGCCCCTTGGGGGCCACGAAGCGCGTGAGGGGTGCGCCGGCATGGGGCGTATCACTATGTGAGCCCGGCCACTGAAGCCGTCGGTGGGGCTCCCAATGGGGCCACGAAACGCGTGAGGGGTCTGCCGAAGTGGGGCGGGGTACCATTGAACCGCCTTCGGGACACCATGTGAACACAGCCACTGAGGCCTTCGGTGGAGCTCCACAGGGGGCAACGAAACGCGTGAGGTGTTCGCCGAAGAAGGGCGGGGCATCATGTGAATCCTGCAATTGGGGCATTCGGGGCACCATGTGAGCCCAGCCAATGGGGCCTTTGGTGGGGCTGCCTGTGGGCTCACGAAACGTGAGATGGGTCTGCCGAAATGGGTGTCGAAACGGAACTGCGGAAGGCAGATCAAGAGGAGGAGGATACCGAGAGTAGAGAAGAAGGAGGAGGAGGAGGAGAAGGAGGAGGATGAGGAGGAGGAGCAGGAGGAGGGACGAATAGAAGGACGAGAGGAGGGAGAGTAGCGAGACGCGATGCGCTGCGAATTCAAACTGAGGGCCAAACTCAAGGAAGGGTTGGGAGCAGGGAGGAGGGGTACGGAGTATCAGTGACGCGCGCGTCGTCTTTCGAGCTGTGCGTGCTACTGATTCGGTTCTTGAGCCACAGAGCCTTGAGGGCAGGGCGTCGTATCGTCCTCCGAGCTGGCTCGGCGCCGAGCCGTGGGGGCCCCTGTTGCAGGAGGAGGAGGAGGAGGAGGAGGAGGAGGAGGAGGAGGAGGAGAAAAGGAGGAGGAGAAAAGGAGGAGGAGGAGGAGGAGAAAAGGAGGAGAAGGAGGAGGAGGAGGAGGAGGAGGAGGAGGAGGAGGGAGGAGGGTGTGCTGCTTAGAGCCACAGAGCCAGGGGTCTCCGCAGAAAAACACACCCGCAGAGTCGGCCGACTAGCACGAACGACTTCTGTACTGGCTTCGCTCGCCGAGATTGGGCAAGACGGGGCAGCCACGCATCTCGTGCGTCTGGTCACCTTCCAGCAACTTCCTCCTCTTCCTCTTCCTCCTCCTCCTCACGGGGCAGCCACACATCTCACGCGCCTGGTCGCCCTTGGTCGGCGAGGGTCGGCTGACAGCAGCCATCCAAGAGCAATGTCAGGGACGGCCAGGGACGGGGTGGGCCAGACAGCCAGGGTGCCAGAGAAGCGAGGGCCAAGCAACTGCGGGGGTCCAGGCAGCAACAGTCCAGGCAGCTTCGCCTGTGACTCGAAGTGTCGCGTCGCATTGTGCTGTGGGCCGTACCCTGGGAAGTAGAGTTTCATCATGCACCCTCGCCAAGTCAGCCCCCGGTCCGCCCAGTCTCCTGTTTCCTATCCCGCCTTCTTGTCCCTCCAGGTCAACGGCAGTCTCCACAAGCAGTGCGCATGCCAACATGAAGGTCATCCTGACCTCTGACCTATTCAGCACGGGGAAGACGAGGCCAATCATGAAGGAGGTGTTGTCTGGCATGCTGGGGCACAGGCGTGGCCTCAAGGCCTTATGGATCCATGATGCACGCGCCGGCTGGGGCCACCTAGATATGACCCAGGTGTGGCTGATGGACACGCTTCAAGAGGTGAAAGAATTTGGCAGATGTGGCCTTGACACAAGCATGGGTTTATGGCTCGACCGTTGGGGCGACGGGGGGAACCTCACGCTCACGGAGAACATCCGATGGGCCTTGCTTCCAGGCCAGGGCTACAAGCCCGTGAGCGTCGAGACAGTGAAAGCTCGGTTAGACGAGGCAAGTGTTCTCTATGTTCCAGGGGGGAACCCGTTCACCTTCATGAAGAACATCCGGAGTCCCATGGGCCGTCAAGTTTGGGAGCACGCGTTGGGGCGCATCCTCTCTGGTGATCTGGTCTACATCGCCCGCAGCGCTGGTACCATCCTCGCGGGGTACAGAACCGACACATCTGCAGACCCACGGCCCAGCACCTGGAACAGCGACGAGGACCTTGCGGGACTGAATCTCGTTCCCTGGAAGATCGCCATCCGCCCACACTACCACGCGTTTTACGTCATGGTGCAAACGGCTCACTCGCGAGAGTGGCGTGCTCAGCACCCCTGTTGTAGTGGTTGGAGCCAGGACGATTTCTTAGAGTCGTTGGCCGAGAATCATCCAGATGTCCATGGTATACGCATGGGAGACGGCGACTTTATGACGTTTTATGCGAACCGGCTCTCGTTCATGCACGGAGACACCAAGGTCCAGGACACCGTCGACGATCTTTCTGAGCTTTTCACGCGTAACGACAATCCTGTAGCAGATGCCGAATTGCCCGACGGGCACACCTACGCCTGTTGCTGTGGGAAGGCCGATGGTGGCATGTCCGTCACGTGTGAACTCAGGAGAACAGACAATCACTGGTTGTTCTGGTCCAGTGCTCGCGACTGTTCTGATCTTGCGCCCTCTGGCTACTATTCGTGGCATGAGGTGCCAGAAGCGTGGTCCGACCTTGAAAACGCGGGCAGCTGCGCCGTCCCCACGTCTAAGATCGACCATCTCATCCTCCAGTCGGATGACGCTTGAGCGGCGTGCGCGCGAAAGCTGCAATATGCACGTTGGAGTTGTCGGCGCGCCTTGTCGCGTTCGCGAGAAGGTGCGGGGGGGCGCCCTGCACGATGCTGCAACACGCAGTTTGTACCACGCCGCACACAAGCAACGTCTGATGACGTCATGCATGAGCTCCCAGACGATGTCTGTACCTGTGTGCAGACGTGAGTGATAGTCAGAAGCGACGCCATATCTGGGAGTCTTCTGTGGCTGGTTTTCTCTGCTCCCCTTCCGTCTGGAGTTGTGAATAATGGCTACCGTCGGGGCGTTGACCTAAGGAACCCAACATAAGGAACGAGGCCAGTTTTCTCCAGAAGCTAAACTTCGACTTCCCATCGAAAACCCGAGGAACACCTGAGGCACACTGTGAAGCAAACAAGGAACACCGAGCCCCTCCCCAACGAAAAGGGTTCCTCCTTCAGCGCCCCGACTGTACGTTAGAAAGCGCCGAGCGGCGTCCTTGAGGATCGTCTCCGTTGCGCTCCGATCCGCACGGCTGTCATGAGATGGGCTGCGCCCTCTGCCGCCGGGCGGTCGGGCGGAGCCATCTTGGGCTCGCATCTTGGCACCACTCCCGTTGGTGTCTTGTGCGACGATCGAACAACGCGCACCCATACCCATCGGGGGGACGGAGGAGGCTATGGGTGCGTGTTGTCGGATGGGTGTCCCCGCTCGAACGGGAGCTTCCCCCAGGGTCCGACAATTCGCACCCATACCCATAGCCAGTTCCCCTCCTTTCGACCCTCCTATGGGTATGGGTGTGAGTTGTTCGCTCGTCATTGTGTGTGTGTGTTTCTGTAGTGGGGGGTGCACGGAGTACAGTCGGGGCGCTGAAGAAGGAACCCTTTTCGTTGGGGAGGGGCTCGGTGTCCCTTGATTGTTTCACTGTCTGCCTCAGGCTTTCCTTGGGTTTTCGATGGGAAGTCGAAGTGTCGAAGCATAACTTCTGTAGAAAAGGGGCCTCGTTCCTTATTTTGGGTTCCTTAGGTCAACGCCCCGACGGTAGATGGTTTTCGCCCGGATTGGGTTTCGCCCGGTTCGTTTCGCCCAGTTCATTTCGCCCGGGTCTGCCTTCGCCCGGTTGGCTTTCGCCCAGGTTCGCTTTCGCCCGGGTTGGCATCATTCTCGTAGGTTCCTTGCGTGTGTGTGTTTCTATGTTGGGGGAGGGCATCGCGGAGTCTCCTTGGTGGCAAATGGGGGCCGTCAGGTGGGACGCGTCCGGGCTATCTGTGACAACTCTGTTTTTCCCAACCATCTTGTGGTGTTGGGTCCTCGTTTTGAAGAGACGGCGCCCCGCGTTCCCCACATCCTTCTCCTCACCCCCCCCTCCCTCCTCCCATCATCATCATCATCATCATCATCATCATCCTCCTCCTCCTCCTCCTCCTCCTCCTCCTCCTCATCATCATCATCATCATCATCATCATCATCATCATCATCATCACCACCGATTTCGGCACACCCCTCACACGTTTCGTGGCCCCATAGGGAGCTCCACCGAAGGCCCCAGTGGCAGGGTCGCATGCCCCACCACCCATTTCGGCACACCCCTCACACGTTTCGTGGCCCCATAGGGAGCTCCACCGAAGGCCCCAGTGGCAGGGTCCGCATGCCTCCCCACCACCCATTTCGGCACACCCCTCACACGTTTCGTGGCCCCATAGGGAGCTCCACCGAAGGCCCCAGTGGCAGGGTCCGCATGCCTCCCCACCACCCATTTCGGCACACCCACACGTTTCGTGGCCCCATAGGGAGCTCCACCGAAGGCCCCAGTGGCAGGGTCCGTGGCCCCACAGGGAGCTCCACCGAAGGCCCCATAGGGAGCTGAAGCCCCAGTGGTCCGCATGCCTCCCCACCACCCATTTCGGCACACCCCTCACACGTTTCGTGGCCCCATAGGGAGCTCCACCGAAGGCCCCAGTGGCAGGGTTCGCATGCCTCCCCACCACCCATTTCGGCACACCCCTCACACGTTTCGTGGCCCCATAGGGAGCTCCACCGAAGGCCCCAGTGGCAGGGTCCGCATGCCTCCCCACCACCCATTTCGGCACACCCCTCACACGTTTCGTGGCCCCATGGGGATTGCCACTGAAGGCCCCATTGACTGGGTTCGCATGCGCCCCCACACCCATTTCGGCATACCCCTCACACGTTTCGTGGCACCATAGGGAGCTCCACCGAAGGCCCCAGTGGCTGCGTTCGCATGCCGACCCCACACCAATTTCGGCACACCCCTCACACGTTTCGTGGCCCCACAGGGAGCTCCACCGAAGGCCCCAGTGGCTGCGTTCGCATGCCACCCCCACACCAACTTCGGTGCACCCCTCACACGTTTCGTGGCCCCATAAGGAGCTCCACCGAAGGCCCCAGTGGCAACGTTCGCATGCCGCCCCCACACCCATTTCGGCACACCCCTCAAACGGTTCGTGGCCCCATAGGGAGATCCACCGAAGACGGTACTCACACCAGCATTACTCACACTTGCATATGGTTGGGTCCTTCGCCAGGCTAATTTTTTGCTGGGGCCGCTGGGGGCCATCGCAGAGAATATTTCGGGCATCCTAGGGCTGCTCGTTGGGCCATATCGTGCGGTTTTATTTTTAGTGGCATTTTGGGGCCTCCGGGTGCCACCTTGGGGCTTTGGGCAGTATTTGAGCCATGTTTGGTCCTCCAGGGACCGCCTGAGGCCATCTTGCGACATCTCGGGAGCAATGCAGCCGACATACTTACACACGCATTCACACAGACACACACACACACACGCACACACAAACACCAGACAAACAAAAACACTCACACACCACACACATACACGCACACGCACACCCATACACAAACCGGAATTCACAATCACACAACACAACACATAACGCACAACACACGGCACACAATGCACAACACAGACACCACACAACACACAACACAACGCAGCACACACCGCACAGCACTCAACACACAACGCACACCACACAACGCACAACGCACAACACACAATACACAACATAACCAACACACAACACATAACACACAACAAACAACACACAACACACAACACGTTCAACACACAACACACAACACACACAACACACACAACACACATCACACAACCCACAACACACAGCACACAGCAAAAGACACAGCACACAACACAGAACACACAACACACCACACAACACACAACACACACACACACATCACAGCACACAACACACAACCCACTACCCACAACACACACAACGCACCACAACACACAACACACAATACACAATCCACAACACAACACACAAGACACAATACACAATACACAGCACACAACGCACAACAAACACAACACGCACACCACATGCACGCACGCACGCACGCACGCACGCGCGCACGCACGCACGCACGCACGCACGCACACAACCACACACCCACACACCCACACACCCACTCATCCACCCACCCACAGCCGCACCCACACCCACACCCGCACCCACCCACCCACCCACACCCACACACCCACCCTACCACCATCCCCCATCCACCCCTACCCACAAAAAAAAAATCCACGCACGCACGCGCACGCGCACGCGCACGCGCACGCGCACGCGCACGCGCACGCGCACGCGCACGCGCACGCGCACGCGCACGCGCACGCGCACGCGCACGCGCACGCGCACGCGCACGCGCACGCGAACGCGCACGCGCACGCGCACGCGCACGCGCACGCGCACGCGCACGCGCACGCGCGCGCACCCGCACCGCACCCGCACCGCACGCACCCGCACCCGCACCCGCACCCGCACCCGCACCCGCACCCGCACCCGCACCCCCACCCGCACCCGCACCCGCACCGGCTCCGGCACCCGAACCCGCACCCGCATCCGCACACGCACACGCACACGCACACGCACACCCACACACACACACCACACACACAGGCACACACCCACACCCACACAAACACCCACATACACGCACACGCACACGCACACGCACACGCACACGCACACGCACTCGCACACGCACACGCACACGCACACGCACACACAGCACACCACAACACACAACACACAACACAACACACAACACACAACACACAACACACAACAAACAACACACAACACACAACGCACAACACATAAACACGACACGCAACACGCAACACACAGCACACGACACACAACACACAACACACAACACACAACACACAACACACAATCCACAACACACAGCACACAACACACAACACACAACACACAACACACAACACACAACAGACAATCCACAACACACAACACAACACACAACACACAACACACAACACTTAACACACAACACACAACACACCACACACAACACATAACACACAACACAACACACAACACACAACACACAACACACACAACACACAACACAAAGCACACAACACACAACGCACAACGCACAACACACACCACACACACGCAAACGCACACGCACACGCACACGCACACGCACACGCACCCGCACCCGCACCCGCACCCGCACCCGCACCCGCACACGCACACGAACACGCACGCGCACGCGCACGCTCACGCGCACGCGCACGCGCACGCGCACGCGCACGCGCACGCGCATGCGCACGCGCACGTGCACGCGCACGCACACAAACACACACGCACACACGCACACACGCACACACGCACACACGCACACACGCACACGCACACACGCACACACGCACACATACGCACATACGCACACACGCACACTCGCACACACGCGCACACCCACGCACACCCACGCACACGACGCCCCCCCCCCCCCCGCACACACACACACACCCACCCACATCCTTGTTCCTTATTATTATATACCCCCACCTACCTTGTACTCCGGCCGATAGCAACCCAATCCGGGACCTCCCATCCGGACTTGTAAAAAATTAATACATTTTTTATTTTTTCTTCTCAACAGCGTCTTTCTTGTCGTCGACGATGCGAAAAGCGTGGCAGGAATGGGGCGCGGCGCACATCGCGCGCGGCAGTCAATCTGGGCCCGCCCACCCTGACTGTTAAAAATCTATACACAGTCTTCGTATTTCCCTCTCAGCATGGCCTGCCTTTTCGCCGACGGTGCGACATATGTGGCAGGAATGGGACGCGGCGCACATCGCGCGCGGACGTTCATGCGGGCTGCGGGCCCTCCCATCCTGACAAGTGCTACTAGTACCACTGGTACGACTACTACTACTAGTACTACTACGACGACGACTACTACTTTTACTACTACTACTACCACTACTACTACTACTACTACTACTACTAATATTACTACTACTACTACTGCATTACTACTAGTCTTAGCAGTCGTACAATATTACTAGCACTTCTACTTCCATAGTGCTACTACTCTGTACTACTACTCGTACGAGTACTTGTACTACCTGTAGTACTTCTGCTCATACTACTCGTATTATTACTCGTACCACTAGTGCTACTACCTATTTGTACCCCCACTTTACTACTACCATCACTACTGCTACTACTACTACTACTACTGCTACTACTATTATTCGTACTACCAGAACCACTACTAGTACTACTACTACAACTACCACAACTACAACAATTACTACTACTACTACTACTACTACTAATGTTACTACTACTACTACTACTACTACTACTACTACTAATAATATTGCTACTACTACTACTACTACTACTTCTACTACTACTTCTACTACTACTACTACTCCTCCTTCTACTACTACTACTACTACTACTACTACTACTACTACTACTACTACTACTACTACTACTACTACCACTACGCGCCAGCACCCAGTTGCGCCAGCATTGTTTCTTATGTTGTGGGAGGGCGGAACGTGTCCGTTGTTCCTTTCAACATGGCCAGTCTTGTCGTCGACGATGCGAAATGCGTGGCGGGAATGGGACGCGGCGCACATCCCGCGCGGACGTCAATGCGGTGTCCTGGGGTATCCTCCACTCGCACTGAAATGCCCGCGCAGCCCCCAGTTGTGCCATCACTGTTTCTTATGTTGTGGGAGGGCGGGTGGGAATGGGCATGCCATGCTTGACTCGCTCGAGCTGGCTAGCTTGACCCCCACCCACACCCCCACCCACATCCTTGTTTCCTATTATTATATACCCTCACCTACCTCGTATCCCGGCCGATAGCAACCCGATCCGGGAACTCCCATCCGGACTTTTAAAAATCAATACACAGTGGCCGTTTTTCTTCTCAACAGCGTCTTTCTTGTCGTCGACGATGCGAAAAGCGTGGCAGGAATGGGGCGCGGCGCACATCGCGCGCGGCAGTCAATCTGGGCCCGCCCACCCTGACTGTTAAAAATCAATACGAAGTCTTCGTTTTTCCTCTCAGCATGGCCTGCCTTGTCGCCGACGGTGCGACATATGTGGCAGCAATGGGACGCGGCGCACATATGGGGCGCGGCGCACATCGCGCGCGGCCGTCAATCTGGGCCCGCCCGTCCTGACTGTAAAAAATCAATACAAAGTCTTCGTTGTTTCCTC